ACAGGCATATATAAGTGAAAAAAGTTATAATTCTTTTAATAAATTTTAAGATTTACATGAAATAGATAAATCATACAAATACAAAATTTAGTAAGAGTGAAGAATTAAGAAAAATTTAAGGGGAGAAATGGAATATGCCTCTAAAAGTATTAGTATGTGGGTTTTTTTGTTGGTTTCGTTTTTGGGCCACACCTGTTGGTGCTTATAGCTTATTTCTGAGGACCAAGAGGGATCACTCCTGCTGGGCTCAGGGGACCAATTAGGGGGTTGGGTATTGAACCCAGGTTGGCTGAGTGTAAGGCAAGCACCTCACCCGCTGTACTATGGCTTCAGCCCACAAGTGTGTATTATCCCAAAAAGGGAATATTGACTTAGAAAATATATATATACTGCTCAAGTGTCAGCATTAATAACGATTGTAATAGAATTATATATGGATGTAAAAAACATCTGATCAGATATGTAATATTCAATACAAATAAAATGTAATTTGTTACTGTGAATGTATAAAATTCCTTTGCAGGATAGTGGTAAATGAATCTTTCCTATCTAGTAGAGGGCAACAATAAGCACCATGATTGATTACCATACTCAAAACCCAGTACTGAGGAATTTGTTTTGACTCTTTAAAAAAAAACTCCTTTAAAGTTTCTTGCAAAACTGGTTTCAAGGAAATAAATTCCCTGAACTATTTGCCTGTCCCGAAGCTCTTTGTAGTTTCTTCAAATCAGAATGAAAATCTAGCTGGACAGAGTATTCTTGGTGAGGTGTTGTTCATTGAATTTTTGTGCTACCTCCTTCCATTCTTTTCTTACAGTCTCATTTGATAGATCTGCTGGGAACCTTATGGGCTTTCCTTTATATGTCAAGTTGCTTTTTAGTTCTTGCTGCTTTTAGTATCTTATCTTTGGATTTTGTCATTTTGAGTACAATGTATCTTGGAGTTTTCCTATTCTTCTGGTCCCTTGGGTCTTGGTACCTGTATTCCTCAACTCTGGGAAATTGTTATCTATGATTTCTGCAATTATTGCTTCTTCATTGAATTTGCTTTCTTATTCTTTGGGAACTCTGATTATTCTGATATTGTTCCTTTTGAACTCATCCCATAGTACTCTGGTATGTTGTTTATTTATTTTCAAACTATTTCCCACCTTCTGCTCTTGTATAATGGGGTTCTCAATCTCAAGAGTATCTTGATCTTTTTCTAAACTGATGCTGATCTGCTCCTCAGTCTATTGAGTTTTTTTTTTTTTAATTCAATATCACCCACCATACTCTATTTCTGCTTGTAACTTTCTCATTTAAGCACTCATACTTTCTTGTGCTTGGCTTGACTACCTGTGCCATTGTTTCTTTGAGCACATAAAACATTCTCATAATGATATTAATGTCACCATCTGAGAATATATTGGGACGGTTGATCTTGGCTGGTACCTTCAAGACTCAAATCAGACTCTTCACTTCCTCAGTATACAAGGAACTCACAACTTTTTGAGTTATTTCAGCTGCCACATCGCAGATGTGACACATTGAAGCTAAAAAAACCTCAAAAGGACATATTTAAATTACTATGAAACTCCTCTACTGGAATTGTCATAAGGATTAAACGGTGTACTGAGTTCCTACACCAATTTCTACCGAGGATGTGCTTATTCTAACAGGTAATCTTCACCATGAACATGTGTCTGAGAATATAATTCAAATTCTAACACTATCTACCCAGGTCTTGAGAGATGGCCTAGGGGATCATGCAATACTGGTTATCAAATCTGGGTCGCCTGCATGCAAAACAAGTGTTCCAGATTGTTATCTATACCTAGCCCTACTGAACATATTAAAAAAAAAACTACATATAGTAGAGTTTAAAACAACTTTTGTAGGATCCAGGGAGATAGCTCAAAGGGTTTGAGCACATATTTTGCAAACTGGAGGCCCCAGTTTAATCACCAACACCACATGGTCCCTCAAGCACTGCTGGAAGCAACCGCAAGCACCACCGGTAAGGCCCTTGCACATATATATATATATATATATTTAATTGTGTGTTCAACTTTTCTTTTCTAATTAAAGAAATGTGATTTACAAAGTTATTTATAGTTGAGTTTTGCATATAATATTTCAACACCAATCCCACCACTGTCAACTTCCCTCCACCAGTGTTCCCATATTTCACTGCCACCTCAAAGCCATCCCACTCCCCTTTCAACTCGACAGGCACATTACAAAGTTTCAGTGATTGCTTTCCTTTTTTTTTTTTTTCATGGAAAACAGTCCTACATTTTCATAGTTCTGGATCAAAGACTCTTAAATTAAACAACAGCAGATTATTTTTCATAGCTGTCAACATTTATTTATTAAGCACCAGAAGTATACTGAGATGGCTGCTATATTAAAAAAAAACAATAACACATTTATCAATAGTAAGTGTCCCTGCCATTGAGCTTACAATCTAAAATAAAATACACTGAGAATACTGTAAGCCTATCTAAAAATGTCTTTAAAATTAAAAATTTTGGCAAATAAATGAGAAAAATATCTATCATTTCAGATACAATGTCAAAAAAATCTTTAAACACAACCTGAAGAATGTTTAACTTGTACCAGGATATTCCCTTAATTATATTAGGCTTGGTAAGAAAAAGAGCACTTAGAAGTTGAGTATGAAGAATTTTCAAAATTTCTATGTAAGACTTTAATCAAAGTCCTACAAAACAAGCCTGAGTTTTTCTATACCAGGATAGCCCCTGAAAAATAGTACCAACTAAATCAAGTTTGTCTTCTATTCTACTTGTAACATTTTCTTTTCTTCAACATTTTCTTTTCTTCCTCCTTTCTCACATATAAGGGCTCTAATGATATTACTATGAAGGGAGAAAGTGCTGCAAAGAGAAAAAAAAATGCCCAGAAATATATGAGGCTTAGCAAGCTGAATTTCTAAGCTTTTGGTTCCTAGTTTCCAAGACGGTGATTGGAGATAGTGGCGGGACATGTGGCTACACGAGGCCTGGCTCTGTGAGCTCCAGGATCACACAGCTCTGGTGAGGCCATTCATGAATACAGGTGAATGGCTGCTTTCCTATTCCATATTTTGGTAAAAGGACATTTAATAATTTAGTATCAAACTTTCCTAAATTGCAAACTCTGCACTACTCATCTATGCTCATAATATAATATTTAGTGAACATTTTCAGGGTCTGCATTGTTAGTTATACAGAAGCAAAGGCACACTGAAGGATACGACTATCAAAGACAAACTGGAGCACATATAATCTTAAACTTTATCTGATGACTTTTCAATCATTATTATTCTTTAAACTCTAAAAGAACACTAAAAGTTGGTTTGAAGCTATCTGAAAGCCAAATTTCAGATTTATTCTATAAAGCACATGCATAATCTTTAAAAAAAATACATACTTGCAAATATTTTAACGGCAGAGTGGTAAGCAGAATCCTGAGATTTTTTTTCATGGTAAAACCACTTACAGACAATTAAAAAACAAATAATTTTTTCCTTAGAAATCTATCTGAACAACTTTCTTTTAGATAATGTAACAGCAGCAAATTTGAAAAATGTTCCCCAAATCTGCTTTGCATACAAATGTATAAAGAATGGTCCAGAAACTTTGTAAAGTAGAATAATTCATGACCTTTGAACTAAAATTGACACTACTTCCAATATAAAAGTATTTTTATATTTTTCAGTTATAGGAAATAAAATTCACTAGATTGGAAATAACTTGAAACATATATCAAGATAAATTTTATCTATTAAGATAACAGGAAGACACTTCTATGTGTTTTCCCAAAAAGGGAAAAAATTTTTGTTACTGTTTTTGGGCAACACCCAGCAGTGCTTGGGAGTCACTCCTAGCAGAGCGTCAAGTACCAGAGAGCCTGTGTTCAGTCCTTTGAGATACTTTTTTGGCCCCAAGCTTTAAAAAATAATAACCATAGTTGTAATAAATGAATTTCAGTTTATAAACCTAAGTGCACTTATTATCAACTATTATAGGAAATGGCTAGGATTCTTGATTAAAGTATGTTTTTGCAAGACAAGGCAAGTCTGATTTATATAAATCATAAGTATTAGCATGACTTAAAGGCAATGACCAATTCATATACATTCATTTTTTAAAATGATACATTCCAATTTATATATAATTTTGTATTCTAGTTTAAGACTACTTCTTAATCACAAGCTTAGAAGCAAAATTGCTGTTATATATTAAAAAATACTTCATTTATCAATATTGTATACTGTATTCTCAAATGCCTAATAGGTACTTTTTTGGGGGCGGCATACCTGGCAGTGCTCAGGGGTTACTCCTGGCAGTGCTCAGGAGATTATATAGAATGCCGGGTATTAAACCCAGTTGGACAAGAGCAAGGCAAGCATCTTATCCACTGTAATCTCTCTCTGCCCCAGCAAGTACTTTTTTACACAAAATTTTAAAAAGCATACTATTATCTAGCTGTAACTGTTGCAAAGTAATTGTATAAAAGCAGTTCACAAGAATAATATATAAAACTAAGCATAATAATTATTGCATTTAATAACAGATACCCCATAAAGGTCAAGTAGCTTTGAATATACTTGTTTCTTAGTAATATGTATGTTCATATTACATCTTAAGATTCTGTAAGAGGGCCAGGAAGATTGAAAGGGGCTAAGTCACTTGCTTTGCATAGGCTGATTCTGGTTGGATATCCAGCACTGTTAGTAAACTCAGAGCATGAGGCAGAAGTAGCCCCTGAATATTACTGGGTGTGGCCCCAAGTCAAACACAAAGAAGAGATGTAGCTACGGGCTCCTTCCCTATCTCAGGCTGCCTCCCGCACTCCCCTCTGCAGAAGTCTCCACTCTCTTCCCTCCGGACCCTAGGGCAGCCTCTCTTTTTCGTCCCTCATATTGCTCTAAAGAAGTTTCTTGAAATAAAACAATGTTACTTCATTGAAAAAAAAAAAACAGTCTGCAAGATATTTTCTTTTCAGTTATTCCCCCCCAAAATTCCCTCCAGTAGTAGTTTAAATATTCTTTTGATTATAAAGTTCAATATTGTTAAATTTATCTGAGTCATATAAAAGCTGATTCATTTCAAAGGTTATATTTAATTTTTGAACCTTAATTAAAACAGCATTTAGCCATGTGTTGTTTCTATGAAGTGTCAACAAGTTAAGAGGGGTTACTAACAAAGGCAAAATTTAATTTCATGAAGATTTGAACTTGTTTACCATGTTTTAAATAATTACAAACTTGAGATAAAGCTTTAGTAAGGTTGGATCAATCAAATAATGTTGGGAATCTCTTATCTTTACATTGAAAAAAATATATAAAATGAAGTTATTTTCTTCCTAAGGTCTCAGCTAGTTTCTTAAGTCTTTTCTTCAACTCCAATGGAAATTTTTCATAGCACTTCTTACAGACTGGCTTCATGTCAAACTCCACAAATTTATTCCTAAAACAATGAAGAAATTAGTGAAAATGTATTCAACACAGATGTAAATGCGATAGGAAGTAACTATGTTAGCAAAATACTACACTCCTAATCTAAATTCTTGTCCTTGGGGGCTGGAGCGATAGTACAGTGGGGAGGGCATTTGCCTTGCACACAGCCAACCTGGGTTCAATTCCCAGCATCCCATATGGTCCCTCGAGCCAGGAGTAACCCCTGTGCATTGCCGGGTGTTACCCAAAAAGAAAAAAAAAATTCTTGCCCTTGTGGCAGATGTAAAAAGTCCACATTATTTGAAAAACAAAAACAAAAACAAAAAACCCAAAAAAACAAAAAATGGAAAAACTACCCTTGTAAAGTGGTCTTCTTCCTCTGTAATACAGAATGTTTATTACATTTCAGTCAATGCTAAGTGTACAGGAAATGTAATGTATAGATGATTTAGAGGTACAGGGATGTAGCTCAGGGCAAAGCACATGCCTTGCATAATTAAGTCCTAAATTCCATCACTAGTATCAAAAAATGAATGAATTCAGTTTAGGTAAGTTAATAATTTTGTTTATGGGCTGTGAGAGCTCAGGAATCACACCTGGTGCTCCGGGGACTATATGGGGTGCCAGGAATTGAACCCAGATTAGTTGTGCAAGGCAAGTGACTTAACCCTGTACGTAATAACTCTCAAGCACTATGTAAATAATTGTTCTTTAACGTGTTCTCATAGTACTTTAAACTATGTTTGACTGTGGGTCAGAGATAGTATAGCAGGTAAGGTCTTTGCCTTGCACAGAGCTGATTTGCCAAATATGGTCCCTTGAACCAGGGATGATCCCTGAGCACAGAGCCAGGAGTAAGCCCTGAGCACCTGCAGGCTCTGGGACCAAATAGAAAAACAAAAGAAAAATTATTTTATTCAGTGATAAGGAAAGAACTGTAATTCTCTAATTTGAATTTTTTTCTTTCTTTCTTGAAGGCAAAGTGATCTTAGAATTTTCTATTTGGGAGCTAAGATGTTTCAGCTTTACTGGAATAAAATGGTTTGCCTCCCAAACCCAACAAAACTTACCTTGAAATTCATCTTAAATCACAGTGGATTATTTGGGTTTACAGAAATATGTTTGGGAATCCTTAAACCACACCCTGAGAAGCACATAAGTAGGCATTCTATCGACATGCTCTACATACAGCAAAGATACCAGATGTCTTATTGTATATATTAGCTGGTCTTCGCTTAGAAAACGAAGCATGCTGAAAACATAGAATTTAGAAAGGGAACTTCAAATGATCACTAAGGGGCCCAGAGTCATGCCAGCAGCTAATCTGGCCAGGTGCTCCAATGTCCTGGCAGAGAAGCAGTGCTGGGGATCCAACTCAGCTTCTCGTGTTGCAAGGCATGCACCTTAACCACTATTTCTCTTGTCCTCCCCTAAAATATTTTAGGGAGGGACCAGAGAGATAGTACAGGGTTAAGACACCTGCCTAGCCTTTGCCTGAGACCATGACCTTGTGTGAATCCTGGTTCTGTACGTGGTTCCCCAAAGCTGTCAGACGTGGCCCTGGAGCACAGAGCAGCACAGGGTGTGATGTTGTTGCAAACCAACATCAAACACTTGGCTTGATGCCCACGCCCAAGTTCCCTGTGCAATGAGGCAATAGTGGGGGGCAGGGAGGAAGGAACGAAGGGAGGGAGGGAGGAAGGAAGGGAGGGAGAAAGGAAGAAAGGAGGGGGGAAGGAAGGGAGGAAGGGAGAAAGGAAGAGACAAAGCAAGGGAGGGAGGGAGTAGGAAGGGAGAGGAGGAGGGGATCCAGGGAAGGAGAGGGGGAGGGAGCAAGGGAGGAAAAGTAGGGAGGAGAGAGGCAGTACAGGGGTACAGTGCTGGACCTGCTTTGATCCTCAGCAGCATATATGGCTCAGCAGGCATTGCCAGAAGTGATCAATCCCTGAGACCAGCTGGTGTGGTCCTCCCCCACCCCTCAAAAATTTTGAAAAGCTAAAATGAAGATTTTAAAAGTGCCATTATTAGACAAAAATACTCTAAATTTTTGTAGTATCTAGCAAGAGGATGAAATTCTTTCAACTGAAACAAGTTAAAAAGAAAAGGCCTCCAAGTATGCTGGGAGAGTGCTAAGTGGGCCGAGGGCATGTTCTGTCCGTGGAAGTCCAGGCTTTGCCTGGCACCTGTACTGAACCGAGCATGCCATGTACCTGGGGATGGCCACCAAGTACTGCCAGGTGTGGTCCCAAACCAACCAACCGACCAAGCAGCCTGAAAGGAACACGGGAACACAGAGGCTGGAGAAGGGGCGTGATACGCATACTCTGTGTGCAGGAGGCCTGGGCCAGACCCAGCAGCACATGGTTCTCTCAGTACCCGGGAAGAGCGATCCCTCGAAATGATGCAGAACCAAGAAAAGGTGAAGTGGTTACAGACTAGGGAAAAGAAAGTATAAGCAGCACTAAGATGAAACTTATTTATTTAAGCTTTCTGGTTGATTTGTGCCTACACCCAGTGTGGGGTTGGGGTGCTACTCTCGGCATAGTGCTCAGGTTCCATGGTTTCTTGCAATGCTCCACTGGGGACTCTGTGGGGTCAGAGACAGATTCTAGGGCTTTGTCTTGGGGTTATCAGCCCTGTTCTCTGACTCGATTTGGGGAGCTGCACTTGGCAGTGGCTCTGGAATGGCTCCTGTGAGTGGTGCTGGGGTCTGAAGCATAGAAGCAGGCACCTTAACTCCCGGACTATTTCTCCAGCCCCTGTACATTTATCAATTAGGTCAAAGGATCAACGCTTTTCAGGTTAAATACTTATATCTCAACTTAGGATACTAATACATGCTAAGAAGAAAAAAGGCAAAAGACAGAAACATTGTCAAAGACTAACCAAAGAAAGTGGTGAAAGTGCTGACAGAGGGACAGACAAGTTTACAGACAGACTGGCTTTTTCTTTTTCTGCTTGTCCTTATCCTTTGTTTCTCTCTCTCGTTTGGCAAGTCGCCTTTTAAATTCTTCTGGCATTTTCTCATAACAGTGCTTGCAGACTGGTTTTAGATCAATCTCAACAAACTTATCCCTTTGAGTAAGACAAAGAAAGAATACAAGAAAGAATAGAGAATAATTAAAGAAATAGCTTTTATTTAGAAGAATTGAAAAGAAAGAAATGAGAACCCACATTAATTCTCCTTTAAAACTCTCCTAAAATATTTTTAACTTAATATAAAAAAAATAGTAGCCCAAAGTTTTCAATTTTAGTATTCACAGTGGACAAAAACTGTAGACTTACTTGAGTGTCAATTTAGTGTTACAGGTAGAACAGGCAAAACAGTTCACACACCAGGCCTTATTAAGAGCAGAGACCACTAGTGGAAGAGGAAAGACATCAGATTAGACAAAATGCTATATCACAAAGAAAATGCAGAGGCATTTTTAAATCTAAAATAGAAACAAAGTTATTTCTATCACATTTGGAGGAGGTCAAAAGGTTAATGTGAAAAATAATCAGTTTATTTTTCAAAAGTCAGTGCCATTAATGTTTACTGAATTTACTGAATGTATTAAGATCCTGATACCCATTATTAAAAGTACACAATCTGAGCATTTATGTCTTCCATACGGGTAGGAGGAGATTACTACTGCCCTTTCAACCCTTTACTTATTACATTTTCCCACCTGTCCTTGAACATCCTAGGAGTTATTATGATGTTTTTACACAAAATCTTGTATTTTCTTTCACTCCTGTGAATGCTGCCATGTATACTTAACACACCCTTCTGACATGCTCTTCTGTCTTTCTTACAAGCATTCTCTATTACCTTTTTGTCCCTATAGCTGCTGGCCCTTCACAGAAACATGTACCAGATAAGCAATTAAAAAAAGAAAAAGCCAGATGTAAATTTCTTTACTTCAACAATGCTGAAAAAAAAAAACAAACGCATTCAGTAGAGGTGGGCAGGGATATAGCTCAATGGAAAGCCAAGTACTTGCCCTGTAGCTCTCTGGCTTGATCCGTGGCACCAAAAATACTCCCCAAATCCCAAAATCTTCCTTGGATGGCTTCTTTTACCTAGCAACTGTCTTGTGTAGAAGGGAGTAAACTTTTATTTTCAATGACACTGAAGACTGCTTTCCTGAATCAATTCTTTTGTAAACTGCAGACGGGCAAAATTTCAAAAAGTACTTCCTGAGTTTCCATGAAGATGGCTAAAACAGAAATGTTTTAAACTGTGCCAGGAAGTTTCTGGAAGAATTGTGCTAGCAACTATTAATAAACACAGCTGCTTCCTTTCTATCCAAGTCAGTAACCCTGCCTAATTATTACAGTACAAGTGTCCTAAGTGTCCTAAGTCCTAGCTATGTTTACAGATAACTGCTAGTTTTAGCATCTGCCAGGTTCCAAGGAGACTCTTCCTAGCCACCACAGTAGACTGAATTGTTCCTGGTCAACACTGCTCTGTAGCTTCCAAGTTAGATAAAGATAACACCAGGAAATCAAACACAGAGACCTCTCAGGTCAGTAAGGAACAAGTCCCACAGTTATGACCACAACAACCCTATGGCCCTGGCCTGACGTCTTATCACACACGAGTCTGACCCGAGCTCTGCTAGCATGCCAGGGTGGCCCCGTAGGTCCAGTGCAGAGCACTGAAGTGGAAGCTAGGCTGGCAGAGTATCCTGTGGAACAGCCCAGTCTCCATCCAGCATTGCTTTCTCCACCAAAAAGGGAGAAAGTACTAGATCGTACAACTTCAACAATGATCCTCTTTCAGTGCTCATACTGCATACACATTTCATGTGCTTGCTTCTGTGAGAGGGGAGCACTCCCAGTGGTGCTCAGGGGCCCCTCATCGTACCTCGGGGGTCTGACGGTGGCCACCTGTAGGCACCGCATGCGCACTAGCCCTTCACGCCCTCACCCAGGCTGCCACAGGAAGTTGCAAAAGATACTTACCATCACCTTCTATAACACGATTGCAATGGAAGCAAACATCACCAAATAGCTGAAAAAATTTAAAAAGTGGTAAAAATTTAAGATGTGTTAAATTTTCCTTCTGGCAGTATCAAAACTGAATCCAGGGTTGATTGATCCCAACATGCGAGGCAAGTCTACCACTGAGCCATATCCCAACTCAAAAAACTAAAGTTTCAGAAACAAGAAACACTTAATATAATTTTAGTTCACACCACTTTAAACATATATATATATACAACACCCCCACCCCACCAAACAAGCAAACAAACTCCCAAACAAACAGCTGGTTATGACAAGAGAAAATTAGCAATAATTCATTGATTTTTTTTTTTTGGCACACTTGCTGGTGTTCAGGAGCTACTCAGGGGATGGTTTGAGGACCAAAAGGGGTGCTAGGACCAAGTCGGGTGGGATGCAGAGAGTCTGCACCTTAATCCCTTTACTATCTTTCTACAGCCCTCTGTCTCCCTGTTCTGGCAGGCAGGGGGGAGGTGCAGTGCTCTGGCCACTGTACACAGCATCTGGGGCCTAGCAGTACTGGGGTCGACATGACTGCTGTGGGGATCCTATAATGCTGACAATGGAACTGGGGACCTAAGTACCCCATAAACTAGATTTTATTAAACAATTGACTTTTCATCTCTCAAAAATAGACAAAAATTCTGGAAATGTTTTAAAGTTAAGGAGGCAGAAGATGGTAATTCTTTATGACACCTACAAGGATACTGTTATTATCCTATTATGATGATGCTATATAAGGATATTATTATTAAGAGTAAGTCTACTATTATTTTTATATGGGTGCTATCCCAGAGTGCTGGGGAAGTGTTGGGGCATAGAGGCACTGGAGATCCTTAGTCCAACAGTCTGGGCCTACCAGAGTTCAAGGCCACTGGTGCTCAGGGGCCAACCAGAGCCAAACTGACAGAATTCAGGGGAACATGTGGCACCAAATCAAATTCAGGGCCATATACATGGTAGGTGAGCTACATGTGAACTATCAGAACATCACTGCATCAAGTGGAAAAACCATAAAAGAAAGTACTGCATGGAAGCTATAATTATTTATAGTTATGTGAATATATCATATTATTTTTATATTATTACATAATTACATTACATAATTATATTATTGCATAAGCGAGTTCTAAATACTGTTTAAAATATATACATTGAAGGATCTAGCGGACTATGATGAACTCATCAAAAGACTCAGGCAACATTGGCTGGATGAGCTGAGCACACATTTGGTGTGTGGAGGCCCCAGTTTAATGCCCCCAAGCACTGCGAGGCGCATCTCCTGAGCACTGAATCAGTAGAAGCCCCATATACACTACATATACACAAACTGCGGGAGAGGGAGTATGGCCACACCCTCTCTCCCACAGCCCCCATAAACACTACTGGTATGGCCACCCTCACACCTGCAGCCCCCATATACACTATAGGTATGGCCACCTCCCTCCCCACAATATAAAAAAGAAAGGGAATGCATGTATTTGTATATATGTATATACATATATCTGTATATACAGTGGTGGGGTTGGAGAAATTTTAAGTGCACAACTGAAACTGCACTTGCCTTGCACGCAGCCAACCTTCGTTTGATCCTTGAACCACACATGGTCCCCTAAGCCCTGCCAAGAATAATCCCTGAGCAGAGAGTCAGGAAAAAGTTCTGAGCATAACTGGGCATGGACCAAAATCAAAAGCACAAATTAAAAAGCATTTTACATTTATGTAAGTATATTTTCATGGAGAAATAGTGCAAGTACATGCAAGTTATGAGGCTTAGTAAAAGTTATCCTTAATATTTCTATTTTGCAATGTTTCTGCATCCAAAATGATCTTCCAAATAAAAACTCAAAAACACAAATCTCTACAGATCTAATTTCCTTATAGTTAAAATAATGGTATGCTCAAATTCCTAAAAGTATTCAATGAGTACCTGGTTATAATGGGTCTCACAATAGGCCAGGCCCTTTCTTTCATAATGGCGATGTCCAAGAAATGGCTTTTCACACTTGGCACAAACGAAATGCTGAAAAAAATTGCGATAGGTCATTTTTTGAATTACTGTATTTTATTTACTCTATAAAGTAAAACTAAAAAGTTGAAGATATATGAAGGTATATGAAAGTTTGAGACAATTATTTCATTTTTCTATCAGGAATCCTGTTTAATTCATATCTCAGTCTTAATTCATGTCAAGTTTTTTGACAGGTTACTTCAAGACATTAAAACATTCAACTTATTTGAAACAACACAGACTAAGAGGCGAAGTCTTTGTAGCATCAACAAAGGAGGGGCCGCTGCAAGGGCAGAACAATAGCCCATGTCTTCTGTCATTAGAAGAGCACACAAGCAGTGTATTTTATGTTGTCAATGGGCAATTTTTAAAATGCATGTTTAGAATCTCCTGACTTTGCCAGCACACATAACGAGCAGACTCACGAGCTCACAAACCCACCTCCACGTGCCACTGCTTGCCCATGGCATTCACCACACGTCCTTCAATGGGCCGGCGACAGGCACCGCAGATGGGAACGCCCATCTTATCATGGCACGGCAGGCAGTACAGCTCTCCTTTCAGCTCCCGGGCGTCAGCCGTCAGCTCCTTCCTGTCCGTAGAGATGATCAAGTGAGGTGGGGGATGCAAAAGGGCTGCAGCACATGGTCTGCAGACAGGAGGCCTTGATTTGCTCCCCAGAGAACCACCACGAGCAATCCTGAGCACAGAGCTGTGTGAAGCCCCCAAAAACACACACACACACACACACACACACACACACACACACACACACACACACACACAAGAGTACCAACCAAATGAATTATATCAAGAAAGAGGCAACAATATGGCTTACATACTTTTTATGGTTTTTAAAGATGTAACTGTAATGATCCCTATCATCTGTTCTCCTACCTTAATATCAGAGTAACAGGAATTAGTAAGGTTCAACAGGTTTCAGATTTTTACCAAAGAACTAATATCATACAATAATGGTAGCACTGCACTGTAGTGCTGTCTTCCCTTTGTTCATCAATTTGCTTGAGCGGGCACCAGTAACGTCTCTATTGTGAGACTTATTGTTACTGTTTTTGGCATATCGAATACAGCACGGAGAGCTTGCCAGGCTCTGCTGTGACAATAATGGTAAAATATACAAATAAATCATCAGACATATATATGCATATGTGTGAACATACATGCATGCGTGCGTGTGCACACACACAGGTGCTAGTCAGCACTGCTATGTCTGCTTAGCAAAGGGCAGGGAAGGGATGGGGGCATCTCTGGGCCTTGGGTCAGCCTTGCTGGCAGAAGTCTGGTTAGGTCTCCAGCAGGGGTGCTGCCGAGCACACTGCCAGTTCTCCTGAGCAAGCAAACAAAAATGCCAGAGAGCAACCATGGTACAAAGGACACGCTAGTGATGTCATCTTTTCTACACATTAAAGACTTTCCTGATTTAAAAGTTGGAATGAATTTTTAGCTTTGCACTGAGGTTGTGCCTCAGCAGCTAAGCACTTGTCTTGCATAAGTAATTTCTTGGGATTGATTCCTGCACTATAGAACACAATCCTGTAAGAGTGACATCAAGTATCATCTTGATTTCCAGTATATGTATTTTTAAAAATGAAGAAATTGTAATACCCGCAGTTGGCACAGTTGAAATGGTCTGGGTGGTATGGGTCATTCTTGAATATCAGAGGCTGTTCGTCAATGATGGCATGGCACTTCTGGCAGATGTATTTCCCAAGGCCTCTCGCCTTCTCACGGTTATGACAAGGGCGACACAGATGTCTGAACAGAATCGAAAGTTGTTAAGGAAAAAACAGAAACATGTCTCCCATCTCTCTAAAGCAACAATTTCTTGGGCCTGATACAGTGGAGAGGGCACATGCTTCAGTTCACAGCACTCCAGGACCCCCCAAGCCTCACCAGGCACAGCTCTGAAAGCCCTCAGCACTGCGGGGCTTGCACTGAGCCAGTGGCACAACTGGCAGACACCTGCCAGTAGAGCCCCCAGACCTCAGTACAGTGTGGGAAGTCCCATCACCTCCCCCAGAATTATTTCTTTAAAAGTCATTGCTGCTATGGGCTGGAGAGTGAGTAAAGAGGTTAAGGCACTTGTCCAGCATACGCGTGACCCAGCTTCAATCCATGGCACTGCCAGGTCTAGCCGTAGCCCAAGATCCCGCTTTCCAGATAAATGCTGACCATCACTGCCTGTGATAGAGCAGGGCACTGTTTGTTCTATTCTGGAGCCATGCCTGGTGGTGTTCAGAGCTCACTCCAGGTAGTGCTTGGGGGACCATCCAGGATGTCAGGGATCAAAGCTGGTAAGCTATATGCAAGACAAGTAACTTACACCCTATTTTATCTTTCTAGGTCCCAAAAGAACAGATTTAACATACCAATTTTAAAATAAATATAAAAGAAATTTCATTCCAGGGGCCAGAATGATGGTACAGCACGCAGAGCATTTGCCTTGCATACAGCTGACCAGGTTTGATCCCTAGCACATATGAAGTGCCAAGCCCACCAGGAGTGATTCCTGAGTGCAGAGCCAGAAGTAAACCCTGAGCACATCAAGGATGTGGCCCCAAAATCAAATAAATAGTTTTTTTTTTTTAAATAGAAAATTCCATTCCAGGTAAGGGATGGTCTTTCAAACATTATTCCCTGTTTTGGCTGCCCGGGAAGCCATGCAGCAGCCATGCAGAGACTCTTCAGCCCTTTCTAAGGCACCGGGAGTCAGTATACTCTGGCTCAGTGTCCGGGGCTCTGTCTTACAGGAAAGGAGGAAAAAGCAGAGATCTGTAGTAGTCATTTCATCTACACGCAGATAGGAAGAAAACTCCTACCTTCCAGCATTCTTGACAAAGCCAATATCTGCCAGGATTTCCTGGCAAAGGTCACAACGGAAACATTCAGGATGCCAGCTGTTGTTCATGGCTTTGATGACTCGGCCAATGATGAACTCCCCTGTGGGAAAGTAATACACAGGATGTCTAGTGTTGCTCTTTTGAAGCAATAAGGGAAGAACACCTTAACGAAATCTCCCTACAACCTTTTACTACATGTCTACCACAGTGAATATCACATTAGAGAAAACATTTTCACTTCATCTGAATCCTTATTTTTAATCCTGTAGCCATATTCTTTGACTCACTTATCATATCTCTGAATCTGACTTTTCTTCCTTTTCCAAACAACAAACTCATCTTTCCTAAATGCTTTTTTTGGGTAAAAGGATCAAATCCAGAGCCTCACACGTGCAAGGCAATTGCTCTATCACTAAGTTCCACACTGGCCTCTGAATGCCTTTTGCTTATTCTAATCATCATCAACATAGAAAGCTTAAGTACATGGCACATCTCATTATAATCCACACTAAATCTCTCTTTCCATCGACCTTTAAGACATTCTTTCTACTCTCTCTAGCCTCTAGACTCTAGTCCAGCTGTGTTAACAGAACTAGCTAAATGTAGCAAGTCAGGCACGCATGTGACCGGCACCTCTTTGATGCCTTCTCTGTCTTTCTGGGAATCCCAAAATGAGTAGGCAAAGATGTATTAATGGGAAAAGTGTACTTCAAAAGTCCATCTAATAGAAGTTTTATTTAGTCCCCAAATACATGTATAGTCCTCAAATACATTTATAATGCATGTCCTTAAAATAATTTCTTCTTCAATTTTCATATTTTTCCAGTAGCACAGCAGTAGGGCATTTGCTTTGTGTGCAGCCAGCCCGGCCAAGCCGGTTCTATTCCTCCACCCATCTTGGAGAGCCCAGCAAGCTACTGAGAGTATCTCGCCTGCACGGCAAAGCCTGAAAAACTACCCGTGATGTATTCGATATGACAAACACAGTAATACGTCTCAGAATGGAGACGTTACTGGGCCTGCTCGAGAAATCGATGAACAATGGGAGGACAGTGCTACAGTGCTATTATAAATAACAGGGTATTAACAAAGCATTTTGAAATACTAGTTATAATAAAAATCAAACCATTTTTGCCAGTAATACTTTGTGAGGCTTAAAAAAAAACCCAATTTTGAAAGGTACTTTTCTTACGTTGAATTTAGTATTAAAACTTACTACACTTTGGATGGACTACCTCCCCTCACTTTCCAATACTCCGGGAAGCACTGGCAGTCATCCCCACAAACCAACTCCTGTGCCACCACGTACGTTCTACTACTGGTCTTGCTTCAGAAACCCATAAATAAATCTCAAAAGAGATCAAAAGCTGTAGTTAATCTTGGACCCATACAAGGCTGAACAGACAGGAGTAAACTGGAGGGGGATGGATCAGCCTGGTGCCCGCCCAAACAGAGCCCCCGGCAGCTTGTGGGAGCCCACAATCCAAAATCGCTGCTATACCCCTGGGCTGATTCTACTCTCAGGACGGACCTCACCGGGACAATCTGCTGAAAATTCTGGTATGTGGTTTTTGTGACTGAAATCTCCAGGCTTTCTCGGGGTCAGGATGGGCTACCTACCCCCACCTCCCTGTACTTCTGGAAGCCTCAGCACTTACATCCACACCCCAAAACTGCCATCCAATTGAAAAGCTACTCCAGCCTTATCATCCCGATAAAAATAACAAATGCTCTAAACAAACACCATGACCTCTTAGCACCTGTATTACAAACCCTAATGCATAAAAGGAAAAGGAGAGAGACAGAGAAGAAGGAAAGTGCCTCCCAAAGAGGGAGGCTGGGGCTGGGGGAAAGTAGGGATACTGGGGACATTGGTGGTGGGAAACGTACACTGATGGAGGGATGGGTGCTGGATCACTGTTTGACTGAAACCCAATTATGCGCAGCTTTGCAATATTCAATTTAAAACATTTTAAAAAAGTAATGTGGAGTTCATCCTCACTTTAGTCAGCTTAATCAATGGCTGAATAAACAGCAGTATTCCTACATTAAAAAATAAATAAATAAAACTTACCACACTGATGACAGCAAGGAGCAAATAGCATCTGAAAATCATGTTCACAGTACTTTCTTCCTTCAAACTGAAAAAGATAATCTTGTTAATAATGAAATAATAAAAAAATGTAATTGTTCTATGGAGAACTACAAAAAAGATGTTTTCAAAATAGGAGCTTTTCTTGAAAACTTGGTACTATTGGAATTTAAAAAATAATCATAATTTTAAAAAATCATAGTTTAAGTCACATATTTACAACTGTTAATCTACTGGGATACTTAAAAACAGACACACTTTTGTTTGTTTGTTTTGGGGCCACCCCAGGCTTCTCTTAGGGCTTACTCCTGGCCATGAGCACAGGGACTACTACTGTCAGTACTTGAGAGACCGTATGAAGTGTTCTGGAACAGAAAAAGGCTTGTCTGTTAAACTATCTCCCTGGACCCAAAAGCAGACCTACTTTTTGCACCTTCTGTACATCTACAAGGGGGGACAGGAAACACAAAACAAGCTGAGACTAGAATAGGATGCCTCTGAGTTGGGTTATCTTAATAGAGCAAGAGTGGGAAGATGGAGCTCTAGGTAAATTTAGTTGGTCACTTTAAATCTCACATATGGGTGGGTGGGGGATATAAGAGGGCAGGAACAATAGTACAGTGGATATGGTTTTTGCCTTTGCCTTTCATGCAGCCAACATGGGTTTGATCCCTGGCATCCCAGATGGTCTCCTGAGCTCGCCAGGAGTATTCCTAAGCATAGAGCCTAGAGTAAACCCTGAGCATTGCTGGGTGTGATCCAAAAACCCGAACACACAGACATACAGACACACACACACCCCTCACCCATGGAACAGGTAAGTACTCAGATTTGGGGTGGCTAGGGGTGGGATATGACAGCAGATAAAAGGAAGCCCCAGCCCCATAATCAGTCTCTCACTCACCAGCAAACTGCATGATGAGGTAGAGGGAGGGCTGCCTGCCCAGATACATGACCAAGTCCAGACAGGCCTCAGAGGCCCAAACAGGGGTAGAATACAGGCAGGGCTCAGATGCCTGGGAAAGCTCAGGTTCAGGCTGGGCTCAGATGACTGGCAAGGACAGACACTGAGCACAAGAGTCTCACTCACACGCACACGGCTGGGGACTAGTAAAGCTGGACAAGGGCAACAGGAACTGTGTTGGGGTACAGCCTCGCAACCCAGCCTCACACAGGCATCTCCCCCATGCACACACGGTCCTGGCTGGAGACCAAGGCACACATACACGGGGCAGAGGCGATGCAGAGCCAGGGCGTCACCATTGTTCAATGGGGGAAGTAGACTGCGTGGAACGACACAGGGAGTTCATTGACGGGAGGAGGCAATATCAAGGACAGGGCAAAGAAGAGGCCTGGCCACTCGAGGAAGTACCTGGATGCATCTACTTTAACTGTACAACAAACTAACTTCTTAACCTTCCGAGACTTGTATGCAAGTCTTTCGTACAGTTCTCAAGAATCCACCAGCATAGGAAAATCTCCTTCCACCCTAACAAGCTCATCTCTAACTCTGCTTTACTGTTTGTTGTTGTTTGTTTTTGGGCCACACTAAGCAGTACACAGGGTTTACTCCCGGCTCTGTACTCAGGCCTTACACCTGGCATTGCTCAGGGACCGTATGTTGTGTGGGGGACTAAGGTCAGCCACATGCAAGACAATGCCTCATTTGCTGTAGTGTCGTTCCAGCCTCTGCTTAATTTTATAGTTTTCAAACCCTACCCTTTAGGATCTGATAAGAGTACTGATCCTTCTCTTCAGAAAATAGGCACACACGCTATTTTTTCATTTGCTATCTATAATGTTTCACTATTAAATATTTACAAATGGTAAATGTTCTATCATTAACTATAAACATTTTAATTTTTAAAATAGTTTATTTTTTGGTTTTTGGGCCACTCCAGGTGGTGTGCAAGGAACCATAATGGTGTGACAGAGATCGAGCCCAAGTTTCTGAACTGAAAAGTATGTGCCTCAATTTTGGGGGAGCTATCATACTGGCTCCACACTTAAATATTTTTGAAAAATTTGTTTTGGGGTTATGCTTAGCTGTAGTTAGGGCTTACTTGTGGCTCTGTGCTCCGGGATCACTCCTAGTTGGCTTAGGAGACCAAATGGGGTGCTGGGATCTAACCTGTCAGCTGTGTGCAAGGCAAGCACCGTACCCACCATACTATCTCTTCAGCCCCCCAGTGGTTTGACATTTTAAAACAGGGCAAAACAAAAAGGCAAAACCACAAAACAAAACCAAATTTACAAAAAATACTCTTGGGCTGGAGAGCTCGTGCGGCCAGTGGGAAGCTGTCTTGCACGCAGCCCACCCTAGCCCGGTCCCTGGCACTGCACAGGAGTGACCTCTGCGCCGAGCCCCCAAATCAAGCCCTCACCCCCTCAAAATATAAGCCTTTAAAAAAGGATTGGAAAAATTATCTTCCATTTCTCTTTGTGAACCATTTGATTTACTTACCACAAAGTTTTATTTGAGTGTAATATTCTTAAACACAAACCTCTTTGGCTAGAGAGTACAGGAGTTAAGGTGCTTGCTTGCTTGCCTTGAGGGGACAGAGAGATAGTACACCAGGTAGGGGAGGGTGTGTGCCTTGTACACTGCAGAACCAGGTCTGATACACAGCACCTCATGTGGTCTCCTGAGCACCAACAGGAGTAATTTCAGAGTATCAAACCACCAGATGTTCCCCCCAAGCCCCAAACAAACCAAACCCCTTCCCTGTGCCATCTCCCTACCCGCAAAGGTGCCTGCCTTGTATGCAGCTGATCCTAGCACTAAATACAGTTACCTGGGAATGCTCAGAAGTGACCCAAACTTTTTTTTTTAAGGAAACACCAGAGGTGCTCAGGATTTGCTCCTGGTAGTGTCAGCGATCACACCCTTGCTTCCTGCATGCCAAACATGGGCTCCAGGCCACTGAGATTTCTTTCTGGTCATCCTTGCCAAGTTTCTAACTAGTCTTTCCCTTAGAAGGTTTCAGTCTGGCTGAATAATCATAAGAGGAAGTGAGTGAAGAAATCTCTAGGGAAAACATTTTTTCACTAATCACTTACTGTAAATAGTTCTTCCTGTTACATATTTTGTGGTAAGAGGAAAGAAAGGACACATTGGGATATTTAATTTATGGAGATATGGAGAGAGAAAGGAATCTATAATACCAACAAAGAACCCAGTTCTTAAAAGTGTCTTATGTCAAGTCGGAAAGACTGCAGCAATATCCCTAGTCCTCGGTTTAGTCCATCATGCTTTGCAGCATTTCTGGAAATATTACCCTGTAACCAGTGGTTTTATTTCTTGCTCCCCAGTCTGAAAGTATGCCTTCTTTTGTGAATTCTTTCTAAAAACACTTTCCATTGTGGGGAGAGGTTCTAAAGCAGTGCTCAGGAGTCTGGGACCCTTCCAGGAGAGAGTGCTGCTCACGCCAGTGCTGGGGAAACCAGGTAACCAAGAAGGTGCTTATAGGAATCCTGTGACGCCAGGAATTGAATCCTAGGCCTCCACATGCCAGGGGTGTGTTCCAACCCATTAAGCTATCTTCCTCACCCTGGAAGTATCTGCAAGTTAGATTTATGGCAGGAGCCAAGGAGAAAAAGGACTGGAGCACATGCCTTACATCATGAGCCCTGGGCCTGATCCCTGGCACTACACAGTCCTCTGACACCGGATAGGACTGGCCCCAGCACAGGATGTGCCCCTGAGCCCCCAGACCAAACCCAAGTCCTCTATTCCAATTTATAGTGTTTCTTTCTGCATTTCCTTCCTCCCCAGAAAAAGAAAGTCCTTTTTCTTACTGTTGGTGCTCAGGGATCACTCTTGCTGGCAGGCTCTAGGAGCCGTATCTGGTGTACAGGATGGAGCCCGAATCAGCTGGTGACCGCCAGTGCCCTCCCGCTGACTGTTCATTCACTCCAGTCCCTTAGACTGTTTTCTCGGCAGGCAGAATGTGTTGCTGGGTATATTTAATCTCACCTATTATTATCTAGTCAATATTACTATGATCTTTAACTTTCAGTGATTTTATCTTAGTCAGGTTATGCACATGTGAGGTAACAGTCATCACAACAATTAAGAGAAAGGGAGGCAGTGAGAATTTTTAAACAGATTAAATTGACTTAAAGAGATTATTATGCACATGATTAAATTATGCTTTAAACTGAACTAAGGTCTCTCTATAACTTTTGAGTTTATTTTTAAGCACACCCGGCTTTGCTCTCCAGGCTCACTCCTGGCAGGCTCGGGTGAGAAAAATGGAAAGCATATGGGGTGCCAAAACTGAACCCGGGTTGATTGCAGGCAAGGCAAGTCTCTACCTGTTGCATGTTCTCTCCAGTCCCTCAGGGTAAACTTTGCTTTTGGTTTTTGGCCACACTCAGCGGTGCCAGCAGTTTCTCCTGCCTCTGCACTTAGGAATCACTCCTGGTGGGCTTGGAGGACCATATGGGATCAAACCTGGGTTTGCCATGTGCAAGGCAATCATCCTACCTGCTGTACTACGGCTCCATCAAAATAAATTTAACCTCTCCTTCCTCCTGTTCCCTCTCCTTCCTTCCTTCACTCTTTTTAAAATAATTTTTCATTGTTTTCTCATACTTTCAGCTTTGGATTTTGGGGTCTTCCACCACACTGTTCTCAGGGCTTACTCCTGGCAGGGCTCAGGGGATTATATGCAGTACTTGAGGTTGAACCGGGGTCTCAGCCAAAGCAGGCAAAGCAATAGTCTCATCTCCTATAAGATCTTCTGGCCCACCGTAAATTTATATATGCAAATCATAGGTAGGTATAGCAGAGGAGATTCAAGAAGTGAATAAAATATAGCCTCTGATCTTAAGAACCTTTCTAATAACTGTAGGTCATTCCTGTTGATTCCATATTTCTTAGAGCACCATTTGGGTCCTAATACTTGTCTTTCATAGTAAAATATCTTCTCATAGGGCTCTTTCTGAGAGGCTTGAAGCGTGTTTTGGGGCTACATGTGTCAGTGTTCAGGGATCACTCCTGGCAGTGCTTGGAATGCTGGTGATCAAACATGGGCTCATCACGCT